AGAGACTGCTTCATGTGATATGGAATAATCTACCCACCCAGCTTCTAGTCCAACAGTCCCATCTTGGTAAACAAATGGTAGTATACAATCACTAATGTAGTTTAACCTTTAATTATGGAAAATTTGGAACATGCATAAGTAGGTCCAATAATATTAGGAGCTCCCACGTGTAATATCCCAGTTTCAGCATCAGCTCATGGCCAATCTTGTTTCACGTCTCTCTTCCATTTTACATGTATAAGCAAGTTTACAGTGTTTAACATACTTTCATCAACATTATTTCCTTTGATTCTCATGAAAACCATGAAGGGTAGATTATGTAGTTTTACAGTAAAATCCTTTTTCTAACAAATTACTATTTTAATGTAAATACTAATATTTAAGATAGTGAGGGGGAAAGATATAAAGGATGATAATAAACCTTTATGCAGGCTTTATTGGTTTACTTTTTGTGTGCATCCTAATTCATTAATAAAGAGAAGAGGAGGAACACTGGCATGTTTTATCTTCCGCTATTATTCAAACTAAATGAAATTAGTTTTCTATAAAATTGTTAGGCTCAATCGCCAATTTCTAATTTTCAAGAAAACTACTTTTACTGAATAAACTTGATCCCAACTCATTCTATAAGAATAGAGTTTTACTGTCAAGCTCCTCTAATGTCACATTTTGTATATAATGGCTGCAAATATCTAAAATTTTAAGGAAACATTAAAATTTAGAACAATTCTAGGACAAAACTGATGGCTGGAAAGGATCCAGATGCATGAAAATAAAACAAATGAGCCATTTAATTTGTGGTTTGGATGTCATTTTTCTTACAGTTATCAATGAAATTGCCATGTATCCCTGGAATTTGGGACTATCCAAATTATTTATTTTGACATTGTTCTTCCACATAATTGTATCTGATATCGTAACAGAAAATATTTATGTTCACATAAGGTGGATATTGATTATCAGTACATTCCCATTACATTATTCCTCCCACATGAGTTAGTTGATTCTTTTTAGAATCTGCTTTGCATACCTATATTATCATACAGATATTGACAAATATTTAACTGTGTATAGATTTTTTTTCTTGATCTCCTTCCCACTTAAGAATATCAAGGATGTACCCAAATGCTCTTGTGGAAGTTGATTTTTCACAGTAGCAGTACCGCAGGCTCAAAAGTCAAATGGGATCAGCTCCATACAGAGCTCTAATCGGGTTGCAGTCTTTCTGCTGCCAAAGTAACAGTTGCATATTACTCATCAAAGCAAAATGTAAACGTTTAGTGATTCTGCAATATGTTTTTTGTTAACTCCCCAGATGAGGGGGTTTTTTTAACCTTTGTTTATTTGAGAACAACAGCTGAATGCTGAAACACAGTAGCTGATGCCAACAATCCAAGGCTTCATTAGTACAGATGAAGCAATGCTCACTTTGTTACACAAATAATTAGAGAGATTAGATGAAAATAAACACTAAGAGGCTGTACAGAAGCTCTGGAGTTAGGTAATTATTTTCATTACTCTAGTGACTTTACCAACCTTCATTAGCAGCCACAGAGCACGTTTAAACTGTTTTATGTAAGAGCATCATAAACATTATGGGAACATACTACAGCTATCAGTGATTATGCTTCAGAAAAATATTTTGTTCACGTTCCCATTTAAAGAAGCTGTTTCCATTCTGGTGCCCTGATAAATTCTCTCAATATTTTTAAAGCATAATACATTTTTGCACTTAGTAGTATTTTATCCTGGTTTTTGGCTTCAATGGACTTCTTAATTTTTATATCATTGTATCTTTGCCAACATTTGATCATGAAAGATGCAGGTCCACATTTTTGAGTCACTGAATGGCATATTCAGTGACTTGAAATAAATGTCACTTGGACAGGGGCACCGTGTACTGGGAGTTGACTTCCTCTTTCTCCCCCTCTCTACCCCAGTTGGAGAAGGCTCTACCACACACACTAGTATCTCCTCAGGTGGGGCCCTATTTTGAGGCATTGTTATGATGATCACGCAGATCCCCTGGTGTAAGATGTTCATTGAGGAAGTGTTAACCTGTATTTAAATACCATTTACTGACTACTTATATGTTGCCAGCTGCTCTGCAAAATACTTTACCTAACATATCCTATTTAATCCTTACAAGATTTTGATGGAGTGTGTTCTATTACGTCCATTTTTTCCAGATGAGGACACAGACTCTGAAAAGCTCATTGACTTTCTAAAGTTGCCCAACCAACCCAGCTGGGGATAAAACCCAGGTCTACTCCAAGAACCCTCCTGTTCCCAGCAGATGAGTGGATGATGTATGCCTGGGGGCAAATGCTGATTAAGGAGAACAGAAAAGATGCACAGACCTCCTGGATGTGGGCGTGCTGGTTAAGGGTTGTGTTGTATGACATCTGTGAATCCTGGGCCCCAGTCAAAATCTCAAAATAAATTCCAGAAGTTGATGATTTTGCAAGTGTTTCCTCTCTGAGCAGTCCTGGTTCTGGAAAAGAAGCAGTCAGGAAATAGGTTTCAAGGTTCAGAGGGAATAACCAAGGTCCCTACTCACGAAGGTTAGTGAGGCTTTTAAGTTCAATTCTGTGACCACTTCAGTTTTACTCGGGTAACACAAGGGGCATTTTTCTTCAACTACACGTGGAAATTCCAACAGGATGAAAGAGACATCAGTCATCTTCGCAGGGTGGGCAGGTGTGTGTGCTGCTTTGAGAAACGCCTCCACCGAATTCCCTCCCCAACCTCCTCCCGTGCCTCCCCCAAAATGCTGACCCTGACGTCCCCAGGCGCACGCCCCGGGGCCTGACTTTTCTCGAGGCTGTGTTATTTTCAGAGGCCCGCTAAGCTATCGGCGACCATGGGAAGGAGTCTGATGGATTCATTGTTTCTTATGTTTGGGGGCACTGATCTAAAGTGCGGTTTAAAGTATGAGCTAGTAGCTGATACTGGAAGGTGGAAGAGGGGATCCTTAGTGAGGGCGGCGTGTGGGGTTATTATTATACATTTCACTCTCGGGCTTCAGACTCTGGGCTGTAAATTAGGGAAATTCAGGACCCACCAAGACCGGATGACAGGCGGGAGCAGCCAGGACGGGGCTGAGAAACCAGGAGCCTCAGAGCCGCTGGACACGCGAGCATCCGTCCCAGAGCATTCATTCCCCGTGCGCACACTCAGAGCGCGATAGCCGGGGTTTATTTATGAAGACGACTGAGGAAGACAGACAGCGAGGGAAGACGGGCTTAGAAATTATTTATCACAGGCTGGGGAAAGTCTTTGCCGCCGCTCCGCGAGCACCTCCCCTGCACGTGCCCAGGGAGCGCGATCCCGCTTTCATCTGTCCCATCGCAGGCAGCCAGAGGCTCAGCCAGCGGGCCCGCTCGAGAGCAAACATCCAAACCAAGCGCCTGCGTCTTGCTCGCGTCTTCCAGACACTGTCACGGTTCCACATGTCGCCGTGCCAGCGCTCCGTTTGGTTCCGAATGCACCATGTTTGCCGCCAGGAGGGCCGCCCGCCCAGTGGCCTGCGTCGGGAGTGGCTTTTGCAGGCCGCAGCCACCGGCTAGACTCCGGGCACCCACGTCTCGTTTCCGCTGGGCCATCGCCACTGACCTCGGCGAGATCATGGCCCACTCTGAGTCCCAGCTTCCTCATCCAGAAAATGAAGGTGATTCTACTTCCCAGACCTCATCGAAAGGATCGCTGTGAGGGTCAAACGAAATCATTCCGGGGGCAGCCGACTGTGAGGAACTGTGACACAGAGTACATAAGGAAAATAAGTTAAACCTGCTAACTCAGCTGGAGTTTTAGGAATTTTCCCGCAATGATCTCACTGCAGCCAGGCAGCAAAGGTTCGGATGGATCTTTTCTTCCGGGCCATCTCACCAGTCAAACCCCCACAAGGGCACCTCTCGCGTTTCTCGGGGGGTGTCCATGATCTCTGCCTTTCGGGGAAAGCGCTTCTTGTCTGCGCGGTGCGGTCCACCCCCAGCACACAAACCCCGCGCCGGGCGCCAGAGAAGGTACCCTACGCCCTCTCCCGCCGCCCCTCTCCTCTCACTCCCCACCCGAGGTCTCCCGCGTTTTCGGCACGTGCCTGTGTTTTCCTGGCTGGTCTCCAAAGACCTTGCAGCATTTCAGAAAGCTAAGAGCGCGGAGGTCGGGGGAGCGAGCGAGCGAGCATCCAGCCCCTCCCCGAGGCCGCGGCGCCCGACAGGGACCCTCCTCCCGCTCCCCCTCGGCGGTGCGGCAGCCGCCTCCGGAGTCGGCTCGCCCGGCCGCCTTCCCGCCTCCCCGCGCAGCCCCACGCCGCCAGTAGCAGCGCTGCTGTCTCTCCACAGGAGGACTGGGGGGGACGCTGGAGTCTGCAGCGCCCCCGCCCCCTCGCTTTTTCTTTCTTTCCAGGCTTTGGGATCTTGCCGGAGCCGGGAGAGGTTGTACCGAGAGCAGCGCAGAGCGAAGAGACCCGGGCACAGGCTTCCGCGGCGGCGTGCGAACCGAGCTGGGCGCACGACATCCCAAGCTTCGCCTCCGGTTCTCGCCGCCCCGGCTGGGATGTAACGAACGAGAGCGCTCGTCGCCTGTCCCCCACGCCTGTCTCCCCACCCCGAGAGCGCACCAGGGACCCACGGCTGGAGTCCCTTTGCTTGCGGCGCTGCGGGACCGCTCTCAGCTCCCACGCTTCGGAAAGAGCGCGGTTGGATCACCACCTTCCCGGCGCCCAGCACAACTCCGGGGCCGGTGGCGCGCGCGGCTGGACCGAGTCCCGCTTCCCGCCGACTACCCGCCTGCCTGCACGCCCTGTAAACCGGAGCTCCCCGCCACCTGCGCGAACCCCGCACGCCCGGCTCCGCGCCCCCGCAGCTCCCCGCCGCCCCATGGAGTGCGCGCGGGCCGCGGCTTCCTGAGCGCGGACGCCAGCGCCGTCCAAACTGCACGCTGGGGTCCCCCCGCTCAGCCCCGCTTGGGGCGTCGGAGAGGTCGGGGGAGAGCGCACCATGAAGTCTGTGCTGTTCAGCCGCTTCTTCATCCTCCTGCCCTGGATCCTGATCGTCATCATCATGCTCGACGTGGACACGCGCAGGCCCGCGCCCCCGCTCACCCCGCGCCCCTATTTCGCGCCCTACTCCGGGGGCCGCGGGGGCTCCCGGCTCCCGTTCCGCCGGGGCGGCCCGGGGCGCGGCCGGGAGCCACGCAACGAATCGTGGCCGCGGCCGCCGCCGCCGCCGCCCGAGCCGCCGCTGCCCACCATCTATGCCATCACTCCCACCTACAGCCGCCCGGTGCAGAAGGCCGAGCTGACCCGCCTGGCCAACACGTTCCGCCAGGTGGCGCAGCTGCACTGGATCCTGGTGGAGGACGCGGCGGCGCGCAGCGAGCTGGTGAGCCGCTTCCTGGCGCGCGCGGGGCTGCCCAGCACTCACCTGCACGTCCCCACGCCCCGGCGCTACAAGCGACCCGGGCTGCCGCGCGCTACCGAGCAGCGCAACGCCGGCCTGGCCTGGCTGCGCCAGAGGCACGGGCACCAGCGCGCGCAGCCCGGCGTGCTCTTCTTCGCCGACGACGACAACACCTACAGTCTGGAGCTCTTCCAGGAGGTAGCGGCAGGCCCGGGCGGGCGGGAGGACACCCCTCGGGCTGGTCCTGCCACGGCTGCCCTTCCCCGCGCGCCCACTCGGGACTCCGGGCGCAGCGCGGCGGCTCGCGCTGACCCCCTGGGGCTGGAGGCGGGTGGGAGGACCTCCGGGACTCCTGGAGAGAGTCTGGCGGGGGCTTTGCTTCTCCCCACTCCCAACACACACATACACACACACACACACTCACTCACTCACTCACTCATTCACTCACTGGCCCCGCGATTGGGCTGAAGCGATGGTGCAGCTGTGAGGCTCCTGGAGGATTTCTAGGACCTGGGCTCTGGCGGGCCTGAGGATGGAGCCCCGTGAGGCCAGGCTGCAAGGAGGGATTCTGCGCCCTGGGGGCGGGCTAGGTGGTCTCTAACGGCCTTTTAAGTGCACATAGGTGTGAGTATGAGTCTAGAGCCATATCAGGAGGACGCTGAAGGTGGTGACTAAGAATCAGCCAGACACCCATTTCCCTGTTTGCTCGGCTGGAAATGGTTACTAGTGTAAACACTGACTTCTAGGGAGTTCTTCCCCACCATCTCTCCCTGTAGCCCAAAAAGGCCCTCCATGACTCTAAAGATGACCCCCTTTCCGAGGAAACCCTCTGGCAACTGAGTTTGGACTGCCTTGTCCTGCTGTCTGGTTCCGTTTTTTCACAGCCCGAGGTTATCAGCAGGACTGCCGGTTCCTTCTCCTGACCCTTCTCGAGGCCCCTCTTTGGCCACTTTTGCACTGGCCTTTGCTGCTTGGTCCTCGCCGTGAGGTCCCCAGCGCAGCCTGGCCCGCGGATGCTGGGACGGCACAGTGTCCCTTGGAGCCCACAGCCGCACAAAGCCAGCAGGCACCAGGTTGGAACAGGTATTCGTCCCTGAGGCTGGGGCTTTGCAGCCTGAATGCGTGCGCATGCGTGCGCGTTCTGCTCAGGAGGCTGGGTTGCCCCGTTTTGACAGTTTTTTTGTTCCTCCTGCACTCATATAGCGGGCAAAGATCTTGGACTTTTTGACATGCCTTGGGACGTCCCCAAAATATCTTGGAATTTTTGACATGCCTTCCTCTTCCCCAGATCTTCAGCATCCTGACTCAGACTCCATCATCCCTCTCCTTCCCCTAAGTAAACTGGGTGATCTGTATGTCTAGACATCCCCTGGTGGCACTAGTGATAAAGAACCCGCCTGCCAATGCTGGAGGCATAAGAGGCAGGTTTGGTCTCTGGGTCAGGAAGATCCCCTGGAGGAGGGCATGGCAAGCCACTCCAGTCTTTTTGCTTGGAGCATCACATGGACAGAGGAACCTGGCGGGTTACAGGCCACAGGATCGCACGGAGTCGGACATGACTGAAGCAACTTAGCACGCTCTTCACAGAAATCACAAAGGTCCCATGCTTTCATCCTAATATCTCAATTTGGCTTTCATAACCTCAGGATAGAGGTATTCTGTGTCTCTCCAGCCTCATTTTTCTGCCTGTGTGGCTTTAAAAATCCATTTCTTAGGGGCAATTGTTGCCTTCATTTCTGTTCATCCTCTCTTGCTTCTTGAATAAAAGGATCAGTAATTGCTCTCCTCTCCTCTCTTCCATGCTTTCACGATGGAGGGCTTTCTTCCTGTATTTCTTCTGAAGAAATCAATTAGCTTGTCATTATAGGGTATGGTCTTCATTATAACCAAGATTCGAAATATCAGCTCTTTTTTAAGTTGAGTTTTATCGTGATTCTGTCTGCATATTCTTGCCCCCAAAAGACATGGTTTGCATTCTGAAGCACATTTCAGAACACCATCATTTTAACCCCCAAAGTCTTTTTTTCTTTTTATACAACTTGGAGGTTGCTCTGCTTGTGAAAATGTGTAGTCTTGGGTAAGCAAAACAGTGCACATTTTTATTAATTAACCTTCTAGGGGAATGGGCTGTGGAGGGCGGTGAGTTTCCATTTCTTCCCTGCTTCCAGCCTGCTGGTGTGAGGTGTTGGATGGAATGGAGGCGTTGGCACAGAGGGGCAGAGAAGCGGCCCAGAACACAGTCTTTCTTTGATGCTTCCCAAACTGAAAGAAGTCTTGTTTGTGGTGGATATGAAGCAGCAAGAGGTTTTTTCATTGCTCCATGGGGGAAAAGAAAGAGAGAAGATAAAAGAAAGAGGAGAGGATGGGGACAAAAAAAAGTCAGCCGAAAGGAAACTATATAGGGGAAAAAAATGCTAAACTTTTAAGACACTAATGTTTGGTATGGTTAGAAGTAATGAAATATTCAAAATAAACTTATGAACATGTGTGTCTCTTATTTATGGAGAGGTGCCAAGTATACAAAATACACAACAGAAGGGATTTTTTTAAAAGCATAATATGCATGATACACTTTGAATTTAAGTTCTGTAGCTTCTCGGGGTTCCTCCCAAGCAGGAATTTTAGTACTAATCCCTTTCTGGCCCACCACCCCTCCCCCAACATAGCATTTTTGAACAAAAAAGGCATCTCTCTGTTCATCAGGCATGTATGTTGAGACATTAAGTTCTCTTTATTACAGCACATTTTTTTCTTTGCATGGCAAGCAAGATTGAACTCTCTAAGAAGTCAGATTAGGAGAAATTATGCATCCTTAGTCTTGTTTATTAATGGGATGCCCTACCTCCACCAGTTCTAGATTAATGATTCCACGTGGATTGCAGTCTAGACATTGCTTTCTTGGAGAAAAGGTAGGACCAGTTGAAACATCTAAAAACTATAGCTCCTTGGGGGAAGGGAAGATGCAGATCAGGGATGCTGGAGGGCTCAGCGTATATCTCAGCCCTTTCTATGGCACACACACAAATTAGTTTTTAAGTAATTCACAGTACCTCAGGAAAGAATGTCCCGAGGCAAGCTTCATCTTTTATTCATGGTGCTTCTCATTTCCATGGTTGATGTTAACGTAGATAAGATAAAAGGAGGAAAATGAACCAGGTACAAATTAGCTCTCTAAGCATTGGCTGCCAATGAAGGAAAGGAAAAGATGAAAGGTTTCCAAATTAAATTTAAGGCACAACAGGCACTCTGGTGCAATTAATCCTCTGTGGTAGCTTAGCTGGAACTGAGCTTTCTTCTCCCATCCAGCTAGCCAGCCAGCCAATTTTCAGGCTCCCCTTTCAACTGAGCTGTGCGGCCAGGAAAGAAATATTTGCATCAAACAACCCTACATTTAACAGCCAAATCCATCTGCAAAGGAAAGCTGTGTGAATTGTGGCTGCAAAAGCTGAGGCTGTCCATCAGAGATGGAGGTGCTTGGAGTTCTCCGGTTCCCAGGGGCCTCTTCTCCTGGCCCTGATAGGAGTTTGCACTGCGGCTCTCAGGTAATCCTGGCTGCCTGCAGCCTGCAGCCTGCACACCCCATCCATCTAACTCTCCGGAAAAGCTTATTTGCAAAGGATTTACCCGGCTTTCACAGAAGCAACAGCCACAGACAAGTGGGACTGTAGCTGGTCACATTTTTTTCAATAACACTATTGATCAGATTTCTGTCCTCTGCTAGGAAACCTGCCAGGATTTCTTGAGTTTAAAGAGGCCACTTTTCCATGGTGTATATGTACCATAGCTTCCCTATCCATTCGTCTGCTGATAGGCATCTAGGTTGCTTCCGTGTCCTGGCTAGGGAGAGGGAGGTGGGAGGGGGGATCGGGATGGGGAATACATGTAAATCCATGGCTGATTCATGTCAGTGTATGACAAAACCCACTACAATATTGTAAAGTAATTAGCCTCCAACTAATAAAAATAAATGAAAAAAAAAATAGTACCAAAGGGGAAAAAAAATAAACTAAGTATTTGCAATTAAATTAAAAAAATAAAGAGGCCACTTTTCAGGTGAAGTTGCTTTCACCTTGGGGAAACCAGTTGAACCGAAAGGTTAAAAAATATCACTTTCCAAGCAAGGGAAGAACTTTTAAAAATTTAACTTTCAGTCTAACGAGGTGAGGCTGGAAGTCAAACTGACTTTGAAACCGGTTACAGGCTCAGGAAAGGTCTCAGTTAATGAGATTGCATTTGGAAGACATTTCTGGCAAGTAGTGAACTAGACAGGCCCTTTGGATGTCATGTTGGGTGCAGTTAAGCTGTTTGTGTGCTGGGCAGGGGGTCGGGGGGGAGGGGCGAGTTCCTGCTCTTTTCTGATAATTTAGTTACATGTTCCACCCTTTACGTGCAGCTCATTGGAGCCATAATCCAAAGGATATTGAGATTCACAGTGTTTGGCACTTTCCCCCCTAAATAATAGATTCTGAATGTATTTCCTGGAAGGAGACAGGAGAGCTCCCTTTCCATTTCCCCTTGACACAGTTACTTAGTGTAGAGTGATTACCTTCTCGAAGTGAAGAAACCTCAAAGATGCTTTTAGAGAGCACCATCCAGAGATGATTTTACCTGGAACTCGCCCCTCCTGCGTTATTTCTTCCCTCCTAAGAGCATGTTAACAGTCACGCTGTGAGTCTGATCACATGTGAGAATTTTGCGAAATGGATGTCTAGAAGGATGGACAGCTTTCCTAGTCTATCGGTGTTAAATCTGTACATTTTCTTTACTTTCCCTGGATGTATGGTACTTGAGCTGAGGCTCATTTTTGACAGGGTTTTCCTTGGACGCCAGCAGTTTTCATCTGGATCTTGATATTTTAATGGATCAGAAATAACCCCTCGGGTTTCAAAGGGCTTCTCCCTTCTGCCTCTCCCTGTTGTCTTTCTTCCGTCATTCTTCTTCCTCCAACCTGCTTTCCACTGATTATTCTTTCTCATGAATAGACATGAAGACAAGTCTGGGTTATTGTGAGTGGCGATGAATGTGTGTCTTTTAAGCATTTAGACTGTTGTCTGCAGCTTCTTGGATCCTGGTGGGTGACTCCATTTTCTTCTGTCTACCCCACTTACCTCTAAATTGCAGGCTAGTAAATTTTCTTTTGTGTGAACAGTAATGGAATAGTAATTGCTTTGAAGGCATGCTGCAAAAGCAGAATAGGA